TTGCCGGAGAATGTGGAGATCAGGCAATTGGCGAACGCAGAAAATTGCAGAGGATATCAATGTGGAGATTAGTTCATAATATGTAAAACTTGTGAAAAAATTATGACATAAACTACTAGCATTGAAAATTACGTACTCTCATTTTGAACAAAATGAGAACTTAGAACGAGTGGTAATTACAATATTTTACTATTCTTGCATTACAAAATGAGGAATATTTGTATGGCAAAAACTACTTGAAAGTAATCTATTCAATCATATTAAGAATGAGAAATAAAAGTTGAAAAACGTGACTGTCCGAGTCTCGTACCCTTTCCTTCCTCGTGGGTGATAAAATATTTGGAGATGTGAACCATTGCGTCGAGTTTTTAACTGTTAGATCATCATGTAATTGTCGGGATAGTTGATTTAACGGTTACAAATCCCGACAGAATGGTTAGTGTATCTAAACATTATCATCAAAAACATGCCAAAAGAATGCAAAAATAATAAATAAATTGCGAGGGAATTGGGTGGTTAAGGGTCTGATTTGATACAAAATATATTGGCTTAAAATGAATTTTTTTGTTAATTGGGGTTAATTTTGAAAAATACGGTATGATTAATTGTCAGTGATATTTTGAGTTTATATCAAAATAATATTTAAAAAATAATTAAAGTTGATTTAATTTAAAATATGATAAAGATGGTGTGAAGTTGAGTGTGTTTGTTTATGAATTCTTTCAATTTAAACTCAAAATCCAACTAAATTTTAACTCAGCATCACTATCCTCAACATTATCAATATAATTAAAAAAATCAATCAGTCATTTTTACACAATTTAACGTTAATTCATTATTCATCTAGTCACATAATTTTAACTAATCACCACTTCACACCATATCTCTCTTACTTTTATATCAAATCAACTTTAATTATTTTATTTTAAATGTTATTTTAATATAAAATCAAATTTCTACTAACAACTAAGGATGCACAAAATTGGTTAACCAAGTTGTTGAGAGAAGATGACAATATGACATACGAATTAAAAACGAGAAAGTAACAACACAAGATTTACGTGGTTCGGCAATGTGCCTACGTCCACGGCGGCTGAGCGATATATTTTATAATGAATCATTCTCAATACATCAATACACCATGTATTTATATCATAACCCTACAAGGTATTAATTTACTTAAATACCCTGGCCCGTACCCTGCTCGCTCCGCTCTGCTCGCTTCGCTCGGTCACTCCGCTTCCTTCGCTATGCTCGCAGGCATCAGCCTACCTCCTTCCTTTGTCAATATATGAGCCATACCAACACAAGTTGAACTAAAAGCTGATAAACATATATATAATATATATATTATACATATAAGTTATAAAATATTAATTTACTTCTACAATATTGCTCACCTGCCCACGGTGGGCACATATTATATGCTCACCGCTTATGTAGCATGCACATATTAGTGATGTTAATATGTCAAAAAAAATACATCACCAATGTGTGTATGCCACATAAGCAGAGGGCATATTAAAATGTGTCCACCGTGGGTAGGGGAGCATTACTCTTTACTTCAATGATTGGAGATTTTTGAGTTTTAATGAACCCTAATATGGTTCAAGCATTAATTTGCACTCAATATTGACTTCATCATAGTCCAAATCATGATTCAGGTCCGAGATCTTCCTTAGAGAAGAATTTAGAAATTATTGAGAAGGTTAAACAAAGTTATAAAAAATCAAAAAATTTGGTTCGATTAGAAATTCGAAATTCAATGAAAAAATTAATTATTTATTCCGATTATCCGAATTTTTGGAGCTTAGCCTTAATTGTGGTTTTCTGCTACTTATTTGGGCCAACATTTTTTATCATTAGAACGCAAGCCCAGATAGGTGAAAATCTATTAATATATAATAAGGATTAACTTAATTCATTTTTAGAAAATTTTTCTTGCCAAATTCATTAATTACACTCTAAAAATAGTAACTTAACACACTTTTATTAATTATTGCTTAATTATATGCCTCTGTTTTTCCGATTTTTTTTTTCTTTTATGATAAGGAATGAAAATCATAATCAATCTCCTATTTTTGTCTCCATATCAATCACAGAGATAAAAAAAACTGAAAAAAAAAATGGTAACAAGATTTTTAATTTTCTGTACAATAACAAGAATTATTTTAAAGTTACATATATTCGTTTTTGTTTGAAATATTAGATAAATTTATTTTTGATGAACCCAAATATATAGATTCCATAAATATTAATATTGTAATTTAGTGAGATATTCTACACGTTGTGAACTTATATTTCCGAAATCTCATATAATAACTAAAAATTATATATATATATATATATACACATATATATATATTAGTATTTACGAGAATCTTGAACACACTCTGCCATTCAATTGTCAATCGTTAGGAAAACAATTTCTCACACTATTAGCAGAAAAACAAAATGATTATGGACCAACCAATGTGCTTGATCAGATATCTTAAACGCAATAAGAGCACATTATGGACCAACCAATGTGCTTGATCACCATTTATGAACATACAAAAAATTGGGAAATCCATAGTAAGTGTCAAACAAAAAATGGACCAACCTTTCGTTCTTATCAAAGATGTTGAAAGTACAAAGAGAGTTATGTTGCAACTTCTAAAAATCCGAAAAGAATTAGAGGAAGAAGATGTTTATGCAATTTGCAACTACAAAGTGGAAAGAAATCTTAGTAAATATGGATCTGTAATTATCAAATACAAAATAATTTTGCATAGAAAACAAAAATCATAGCCAACCCAACCTATTTCTCTATTTTCCGTTTTGATTTTTGAAATTTTGCAACATTTTGTGATGTGGAAAATGTCGATGAGTCTTCACTTTTCGATAAGAATAACTTTCGAATATATTCATTATCATATCTAACAATGATTAAATAAATATTTTTTATTTCTTGTGAATGTAGATGTCATTAGGTTGGTAGTAGAAATTCAACAAGTGCAATTCAAGCAAGTTGCACGACAACATACCCAAATGATTGACTTTACTCTTCTCGATTTGGAGTAAGTATTGCATAAAGGTATTTAATTGTTATATACATTTAAGAAAAATTTATTAGTTTGAAATTATTATTTAATGTATTATAGGGACAATACTATTAGTTTTGAGAGTCGTTATGAAGGCAAAGGTTATCCATGAGTTCTCATAATGTAGCTTAGTATAGCAAGATTGTGTGGTGGTAGTATTAAAAAATTAAAGTATTATAAATTTTGATATTTTTTAATTTTGCTTTTTTATATATAATAATTTGGTGGAGCAAGGTTGTGGGTTGGTTGTATTAAAAACCAATAATGTTATGTACAAAGAGGTTTTTAATAATGTATGACTTTTTTATAATGAATATTTTGGATCAAGTGACAAATGCTCTACGTATTATACGTTATTGATCAATAACCTTCAATTTATAAATTTTACCAAAACAAATACAGTTCGTGCATTGCACGGGTTACATACTAGTTGAAATGAATAATTCAGTGAGCCTATGTTTGGTTCAGGGGAGGGGAGGGAATTTAATGGAAGGGAGGGGAGGGGAGGGAAAGGGAGGGAAAATATTTTACCTTGTTTGGATGGATTTTGTAGAGAGGGAGGTGAAGGAAAATGATTAACCTTGTTTGGTTAGAAGATGGAAGGGGAGGGAAAATAATGTTAGAATGACAAATATATCCTTAATGATGTAAGAAAAAAAAATAAAATAATTCACAATAAGGTCAAAAGAGTAATTTGATGTTAAAAATTTTCCCTCCCCTCCAAACTCCCCCACTTTTGGAGGGGTGTGTATTTTCCCTCCTCCAAGGGATTTGAAGGGAAAATCTTAATCCCTCCCCTTACTTAAAATCGAACCAAACAAGGGAAAACTAAAAATTTCCTCCCCTCCCTTCCCCTCCCCTCCGTTTCCTCCGAACCAAACAAAGCCTGAAGCAATTTGCAATGGAACACACTGTTAACTGTGGCGACTACACAAAAGTTTCTCTCCGTTCCCTCGTTGAGCTCCCCATTCTCTCCGGTGAGTGCCAGTCTTTCTTTGTGCCTGTAAACTTGTCTTCGCCTTTGTGTTGAGTCTAGGTTTGTTCGATTTAAGCTGAGTGGGGGTGAGGCTAGGGTTTTCGAGTGGTGTTAGGGTTTTTTTGTTGGTGTTAGGGTTTAGGTTGAACTGCCAGAGCTTTGTTTTTTCTTCTCTACTCAATTTGAGGCTCAGGTTCTTCTCAAGAGTGATAAGAGGTAGTTATGGTGGATGATATTGAGTTAGGGTTCCGAAAACTCTCATTGTCCCACATCGAAGCTACGGCAATAGATTTGGGAGCCAGAGATATAAGGAATAGCAATGAAGAATGTCGACGAAGTTTATTCGGAAAAATTATTGGGCAGCGGAAAGCAAATGTTGTCGGTCTGAGAAGAGTGGTGGAACAGATATGGCAGATTGAGGGAAAGGTAACAACAAGGGAGTTGGGTTTCAATTTTTTCCAGTTCATCTTTACTAATGTTGAAGATATGAACAAAGTGGCTAAAGGGGTGAGCTGGACATTTGACAATCAATTCTTGATTTTAACTGGCTGGAAGGAAGATATAAGAGGAGATCACCCCGATTTAATGAGATTGAGATTTGGGTCCAGTTGTGGAATATTCCGATCAACTGGTTGAGTTTAGCGGTGGGAATGAAGGTAGGGAAAGTTTTCAAAAGTGTTAAAGATGTGATGGTTCCGGATGAAGGGAGTGTAGAAGGTAGATGCATTAGAGTGCTGGCTCGTTTGGATTTGGAGGAGCCTTTACTTAGATGTGTTAATCTGAGATTTGCAGAGACTCAAAAGGTGATAGTATTTCGTTATGAAAAGTTGGTGAATTTTTGTTACTATTGTGGGAAAATTGGACACATCGTTAAGGGATGTGATGCAAGAATATTGGATATCAAGCAGAACAGGTTATGTGAGGGTCAATATGGAGAGTGGATGAAGGCTAAAGATTTCAACAGACGAGCTAGAGATGAGACTAGTAGAAGAAGGGAAGGCCAAAGTGCTATCAATCCGGGCACAATTGGGAAAAAAAGGGATTTTGAAAGCTCCTGTTCAAATAGCTATACCGATGGCCATTGAACCTCAGCCCCGATAAGTGACAGGAGATGCATATTCTGTAGGTATTCTAGTGGATCAGTTCATATTGTAATGAAAAAGAGAAGAGCCCAATGGGAACAGTTCAAAAGTTGGCAGAACCAACGAAGAAGACCAATGAAGAAAGTAAAGAGCAACATATGGTTAGTAGATGGCCTGAGTATATAGAAATAGAACTCTTATGGGTGTTTCAATCCATTTGGCGACCAATGAAGAAGGGACTAGTACATACTTTGGTGGTTCTGGAAAGCACGAGTTTTGTGGGTAGTTGACTGTTTTGTGTTTCGACTGGGGGTTTTAGCTTGGTGCTTAGCACGGTGGGTTTTTTTTGGTTATCTACAGTGGAGGTGATGGCATATCTACAGGTTTCAGTTTTTATTCACTGCCTAGTGGATTAGTTATCATTTTTGCTGTTGATGTTTTGTTGGGGTCCCAGCGTTGTTTTGGTATAGGCCTCTGTTGTATCTTGTATGTTGGCTCTTTGTACTATTTCATTTGTATTAAGGCCTAGTTAGCTTTCAGTTTATTCTGGTATAAAATTTGACGTTGAGACTTAAAAATAATAAACATAAATTAAGACCCAATAAATATTCAGTCGAATCAAATAATAAAAACAATTAAAATCTAGTTAAGCATTCATTTGGAAGACCTTTAATATTTTATGAACATTAATTGTTGTTCAGTTAAAAAAATGTGGCCATTTTAAAAACTAGTGATGATTAAATTTGTAAGAAGGTTGAATTTGACATTGATCGAAAATGATAAATGTTTATCTTATTTGCGTTTATTAAAATAGGTAAGTTAAAAGTTGGCCAGTAACGAGCTCGAGCTCGAGCCCTTGACGAGCTAGAAATCAAGCTCGAGCTCTACTCGTTAGGGTCTTACCGAGCCGATCTCGACCTTTACCGAGTTGAACTATAAAAAATTATATAAAAAATCTCTTTTTGAGCCTTAACGAGTCTTATCGAAGGCCTAGAGCTCGAGCCGAGTTAAACTCGTTTAATTTAACAACAATACTCAGAAGTACTGCTTGAATGAAGAGGGAAAATTCCTTCATCTAAAATCTTCCATAAGATAATTATATTCTTAGCTTTGTTTAACCCTAATTAGTTGAAGTTTTATTTACATGAAAATGGATGAAATTGGAAGATTGTGAGTAGTAGAATCAAGTCAAGAAGAAAATGATCAAACAAGAACACATTTTGTACTTCAAAGGAAACAAATCAATATTGTTCCATATTTGTGGAAAGATAAAACACGGTCACAATATTGAACATGGACGTGTTACGTGTGCATGGAGTTTTAGTTTCTAAAGAAGAACGAGAATATCGAGTTTACCGTGATATGAGGATTCAGTTTTTAAAGAAAGAACGAGAATATTGTAAAGATGTGGAAGCTTGTTTCAACATACATACAATTTATTATCGAGTAGGTATATTAAGCTATTCCATTCACCAATTCTACTGAGGAAATACACAAGCCAATCATATTGAATCATCGAAGATGAACATTATTTAATAAGATAATTCAACTCACTCACGCACAATTGTTAACTGATCTGAGCCACCCATGAGCTCGGCTCAACTTAGCTAGAGTTTGACTCGACTTCCTTGATAAGCTATCCGCTCTCAAACCCGTTTAATTAACAAGTCAAGACAAGCCCGATTCATTAAAACTCGTAAAATAAGATTTTACGTAACTTTTTTAAAAATTATCTTACTTCAACTCGTTTAGATTCGAAGTTAACCCGTTAATATAAACAAACGTAGATCAATCTAATTTAAGAGCTCGGCTCGATAAAAGCTGGAACCTAAATTCCAAAATCGTAAGTTAGAAAATCGACTTGGCACTACGCATGTGCCTTATTAGCGACTTTTTAGTGTTTTGCCTTTTAGGGGGAGAAAAAAAAAAAAATGATTTTCCACGTACCACAACTTCAGATCCAATAGGCCATAAAAACCCCTTCTGTATCTTCACTCTCGTTTGTGAGGTGTCATCGTTTTTCCTCTGTTTACAGTGAGAAAAAAATACCCGAATCTAGCGGAAATGGGTCGTCTGGCTTCGGGTCGGGTCCCTGCCATGGTTGTCTGCTTTCTCCTCTTGTTCTCGTCCGGGCACTCTTTCTATCTTCCTGGAGTTGCACCGCGCGATTTTCAAAGAGTAAGTTTTTTTTTTTCTCTCTCTCACTGACAATGTCTCAGTTCATAGTATTATGTTCGAGGAATCTGAATCTTGGAAACCTCTGATGATCAGATCTAGTAGTTTGGTACTATGAATTTTCTGGGTTTTGGCTGATGGATGGAGATCTAGGGTTTACACGTTGAGTTAATTGGAGATTTTACTAATTGAGGTCGATCTGATGTATTTCACTGTTATTTGTAGTTCGGGATTGACTTGTATTTTGTTTTTCGATTTTGGGTTCTGGTAATATTGTCTTTGATTGATTAGTTTGTTGTGATTTTCGATCCACATTTAAAGCTAATGTATGATGGGGCGTTGTTTCTGTCAAAAGTTGCATAGAAGCTGAAGTGATCTTTACTCTGTAGCTACGTTTGACGAAAGATGTGGAACTTTTGCACCACTTATCTATACAGATTCATGAAACTAATTCGAATGGATTACACGAATGTGATTTGTAGACCATTTCTTATATACTGGATTTGTGCGATCCTTTTATAAGCTGCAGTGTGTAACTTTGAAACTAATATTTTTCTTCGAGATGTGTGTTCACTTGGTTATGAATGATTGTAAGGCATGATGTAGCTCTTAAGTTGTCCCCTTTGCTTAAGGAGCTACTACTAACTGTCTTCAAATTTGTTATTTTCGCAGTTTCTTCTTTCTCCCTCAAAGATGGCAAATTTCTTACTTGGCTTTGCAGCCTTATTGTTTTCCATGATCATAATACTCATTTCTTCCTAATGACAGGGGGATGAACTTCAAGTCAAAGTCAACAAGTTATCTTCTACTAAGACACAACTCCCGTATGACTTCTATTTCTTGAAATACTGCAAGCCAAAAAAAATCCAGAATGTTGCTGAAAACCTAGGAGAGGTTCTTCGAGGTGACCGTATCGAGAATTCAGTTTATGTTGTAAGCCCCCACGAGTTCATGGCTCTTTCAATTTTAAGTCTATTCCATTACTTGTCATGTATCTTTTTCTTATGGAACTTTTGAATTGGGTTAACCAGTTTCATATGAGGGACGAGCAGTCCTGCAAAGTGGCGTGCAAAGTTCATCTTGATGACCAAGCTGCAAAGGACTTCAAGGAAAAAATTGATGATGAATACAGAGCTAATATGTATGTGCTGTAGCTATTGTTTTGTTTCATGACATAGCTAACCTTGTAATAATACTATTGTTGTGTTGTCATACGCCTGAGTCATGCACAGTTCACGATTGTTTTGACCTGCCCTAAACCTTAAAATTGCATGCAGGATTTTAGATAACCTTCCAGTGGCGGTGCTCAGGCAAAGGAGAGATGGAATCGTATCAACAACTTATGAGCATGGCTTTCGTGTTGGGTTCAAGGGAAATTATGTTGGGGTTTGTGTTTTCATCCTTGTATGGTATAAATAATGTTATATGTGTATGTCTCAAGTGTTTCAATGTTTGTATTTTCTTTTTCCCCAGAGCAATGAGGAGAAATATTTTATTCACAACCACTTAAGCTTCAGAGTTATGTATCACAAAGATCCTGAAACTGATTCTGCCAGAATAGTGGGGTTTGAAGTTTCACCAGTCAGGTTTGTCGTGCGGCATATCAGATTTGGAAACCTAAAAGGTTTCCGCTTAGTAACTTGTTAACTGATCCAATATTTTCCTGTTCCCATCTGGAATTCACCTTAATTTGTGCCAACAGCATACTCCATGAGTACAAGGAGTGGGATGATAAGAACCCCAATGTCCTTACCTGCAACCAGAACACCAAAAATGTGGTTCAGGGGAGCACCGTTCCACAAGAAGTGGATAAAGATAAAGATATTGTATTTACTTACGATGTTACTTTCAAGGTCAACTTTTTGTAACTCAAACATTACTTCCCTTGGCCATGACTAGGGCTGCAAACGATTCCTCGCGAGTGCTCGAGTCAAAGCTCGACTGAAGCTCGAGATTGACCTAACTCGAGTTGAGCTCGAGCCCATATTTTGCATTGTCGAGCAGCTCGAGATATATGTTGTATTACTAAAATACCCATTATATATATTACAATAGTATAGCATAGGTGCTTAATGGTAATTTTACTTTTCCATTTAAAAATTTTTGAGCCGAGCTCGAGCATTTTGATTTCGAGTCGAGCTCGAGCGATTGTACTTTTTAATCGAGTCGAGTTCGAGCTTCATAAATCGGAGCAGCTAAAGAAAAAAAAAAAAACTAATCCTGCTCGATAAGGCTAATGCTCGACTCGGATCGACTCGTTTGCAGCCCTAACCATGACCTTTATGCTAGTCCAACAATAATAACGGCGCAATTTTTATTGTCTCAGGAAAGTGAAATTAAGTGGGCTTCCCGGTGGGATACCTACCTTCTGATGAATGACGATCAAATCCACTGGTTTTCAATCATAAACTCTTTGATGATCGTCCTCTTCCTTTCCGGTATGGTTGCCATGATTATGATGAGAACCCTATACAAAGATATCGCCAACTATAACCAGTTGGAAACCCAAGATGAAGCTCAGGAAGAAACTGGATGGAAACTTGTTCATGGGGACATCTTTCGAGCTCCCGTAAACTCCGGGCTACTGTGCGTTTATGTGGGGACTGGAGTTCAGATCTTTGGAATGACACTTGTCACGATGATATTCGCTTTGCTGGGCTTTCTCTCTCCTTCCAATCGTGGTGGGCTCATGACGGCTATGGTCCTGTTGTGGGTTTTCATGGGTATATTCGCAGGCTACTCATCGTCTCGTCTGTATAAAATGTTCAAGGGTACTGAATGGAAAAGAATCACCTTAAAAACAGCCTTCTTGTTCCCTGGTATTCTGTTTTCAGTCTTCTTTGTGCTGAATGCTCTCATTTGGGGAGAAAAATCATCCGGAGCCGTTCCCTTTGGGACAATGTTTGCCCTCGTTTGTTTATGGTTTGGAATATCTGTGCCGTTGGTTTTCGTCGGTAGCTATTTGGGTTTCAAAAAGCCAGCCATTGAGGATCCCGTCAAGACCAATAAAATTCCAAGGCAGATTCCCGAGCAGGCCTGGTACATGAAGCCAATATTTTCCATATTAATCGGGGGGATTCTTCCATTTGGGGCTGTTTTTATCGAATTATTCTTTATTCTGACGTCCATCTGGCTGAACCAGTTTTATTACATCTTTGGTTTCCTGTTTATAGTCTTTGTGATCCTGATAATCACATCTGCAGAGATCACGGTCGTTTTATGCTATTTCCAGTTGTGCAGTGAGGACTATAACTGGTGGTGGAGAGCTTATCTCACGGCTGGCTCGTCTGCTTTGTACCTTTTCCTTTACTCGGCATTTTACTTCTTTACCAAGCTGGAGATTACTAAGCCGGTGTCGGGTATTCTGTACTTCGGGTACATGCTTATTGCATCGTATGCTTTCTTTGTCTTGACGGGGACAATTGGATTCTATGCATGCTTCTGGTTCGTTCGAAAGATTTATTCCTCCGTGAAGATCGATTGAATGTTGAAATAGATTGCGCGGGATTTTGGAGAAATTCGTAGGTTTATCTTTTGGGATTGTACGGTTCGTAGAGAAGTCAGGTGCCTTTTTGCTTTGCGAGATGGGATTAAGAGCTGAACAGTTAATGTAAAAATTTCTCATTGCCTGCTAAAAACATCAATTTTTTCTTTCTGTTTTATCTTTTATGTAGGCCCCAACTTGTATTAGATGTTCTCACTTTGTTATTATTGGGGTTTTGCGTATACAAATGTCAGTTTCCTTTAACTGGGGTTTTGAAAAAATTTCCTATATAGAGCTACTAATTGAAGAGGGACTATTGGTATCAAAATTATAGCAGTCTACGTTTTTTTTAGGGAAATTTTTTTTAACCTCTCAAAGTATGTTATTGTTTAGAGTTTGCCATACACACTTTATTTTTTAACAATTTGTCTCCTAATGTAATCGAAACTGATAATTTGTCTCCTCAATTAACTCTAATATGGTACACAAGAGTTTTTAACTTAATTAATGATATTTTTAAATTATTTTTTAAAATTGATTTAGGGCTTTTAAAGCCCATGATGATACGAACAAAATGAGGTATGATTTGTCGGATTCTGAAAATCGATGCCTCTATAATCAATTCACGAAGATAGTAGGAGCACGAGTTTATAGAAAAAATTTTCAATTCAAGCTTTCTGATAATCGATATATTCGATTTTCGATTGGGAAGTGTCATTTGAAAGCTTGTAGGACCAATTTTTTAACGCGTATATCTTATAAAAATTCAACCGTCGGGTTTTGATCAGTATTTAGAAAACTATTGATCGATAATTTTTTTAGGATACTAACCAAAATGCGACCGTTGGATTTTTCATAAGATTTACTTCCATAGAAACATCCTCTAACCTTTCAAAAGACATCTACCAATAAAAAATCGAATATCTTGACTATTAGAAAATTTGAATTGAATTTTTTTTTTTTTTAAACATACGTGCTCCTAATATATTCGTGGATCAATTAAAGATGTATAAAGTTTCAGAAATCGACAAACTATACCTCGTTTTGTTCGTCTGGCCATGGACTTTAAAAGCGCTAAATTAATTTAAACTTTATCATTAATTAAGTTAAAAACTCTTTTGTGCCAGATTAGGGTTTTTAATCGAGGAAGCACTGCTACTTTCCTGGGTAGATTAGTCCCACCCTCTGGGCGTGGATCTCGTAGCCTGTTAGGGCCACGGACCTGGATAGGCCCACACCCCCAGGGTAGGGCTCGGCGAGTGGCTTGGGAGTTCGTGGTGAGACCCTGGATTGAATGTGGGGATACCACCCAGTTGACAAAAAAAAAAAAAATCGATGAGGCAAATTGTCAGTTTCGATTATATTGGGAGACAAATTGTCAAAAAATAAAGTTTGTATGACAAACTCTAAAAAATTACATACTTGGAAGGTTAAAAGTAAAATTCGGCTTTATTTATTTTTTTTTTTTAGATTGTATTGAGCAGTATAGTTTATTTTATATTTTCACGATAATCACTGCCATCTTCTTAATAATCGCTGCTTTTTTTTTTTCAAAAAAGAAAAGCTAATATTAAAGTATTTCAATTTCATTATGTTAGTATATGAAATCTACATTTTTATCGATTTTAATTTATACGAATTATCATGTAATTTATCATAATTGTCTCGGCGCACGGAATAAGATCAATAAAGATAATTTTATTTTTCTTTCATAAAACTAACATTCAAAGTATAAAAAAATGATTTCACTTATTGTACATAGTTTTGGAAAACATCAAACATCATACAACTTTACTTCAACACAAGTTTACTACAGTAAGTATTAAGTTACAAGAGATCTTCTTCATCAGACACAGATTTTCATCAACAAATCTTTGATATATTGATAAACTTGCAAAAGGTTAAAAGCAATGATAAATTGCTTTTCTTACATAGACTTAGAAACACACAAACCCCCAAACCTTATATGAAGCCAAGAACTTGAGAGTGAATTTGGGACAAATCCGCACATGGACTCATATTATCGTCACAATGTGCCTTCATCTTGCCCCCCCCCCAACAAATCTTCGATTCAACAGTTTGCGATACAAAACCGAACAAATCAACCGACATATATACATATTTTCGTTACCTTAAAACACCTTCATACTGTACTAGGAGACTTCGGGTCGTGTGGTGTGTTGCATTATATGTACAACTTCACTTCTAACCAGAAGTCCGGATGATGAGAAATATGGTTCTGATGAATATTGCAATGCAATAACATTGACAAATTTGTAAAATGTAGATCAGACGAGCAAACGAGATTCTCTTTCAACTTATCTCTCCCTCCTTAGCTGCATATGGCCTCGACCGATACTTTCTTCATGACATTTGCACAAGGATCTCCACCAAAGATCTCGGGTGTAACAGGCACTGTGCAAGATGGCTGGCCGACACAATACTGTAATAAAAATATAATTCAAATAGAGTTAAGCATGCAAAACCCAAGAATTCAGACATGAGTGACATTTCAAGGGCATTTTGGCAATTAATTCTGGGGAAAAAAAAAGTGATGAAAAAAAGCAGTAAGGATAAAATGGTGTAATTACCCTCTCGAAAACATCGTAAGAATGGAATGCATGGCAACTCCCTTCACGGAAATTACCACAAGACCCCTGAGGGGTCCCGAAGCTAGCAAACTTGATGGACGAGATCTTTTGGCCAGAGGCACACGAAAGGTGTGCTTTAGGCCTTAGTGGCTTGTCGACTTTTCCCGAAGCCTGCATTTGCCAGTTCATTAAAGTCGGCTGCCATTCGTATATATCTGCACACACGCTCGCAACTTCCCTTTTGACCAAAGTGATCCCATAAGGATTTCCTCCCCATTCTTCGAACACAACCAGAAGATTCCCGGTCGGGTAAAGCCAGGATCGAGGAATGTGGTACCTGAAAAGGTGTAAACATTTAAAAATTGCAAATAAATCCTTTCAATCTGTATTTACTTTAGAGTTTAGCACCCTTCTTGAGAACTGCATATTTGCACAGCGCATAAAATATCAGGTAGTTTTCCAAATTTCCTAGTTCTTATTTTTTTTGCCGAAATTACCATCTCTGGGAAGCTTCACCACAATTGGTAAGACATTTCTTCTCGTTAAACCAACCGGCATAATTGCATGCCCCACAATTGCCAGATGCTTTGTACTGATTCCAATACCGCCCGATGCTTTGACCGTTTATCCAAACATGGCCTTTGCTCATTGTGTTCATGTCTAAAGCCAAGGGCTCGTTTCCATCGGGAGCATTGAAATTGGTCTGTAGATTAAAAAAGTGAAAAAAGATATCATCAAACGGCTATGAAGTTGCTAGTGTTTTACTGTCTTCACATGCAAATGTAGTCTCTTATGGCCAAGAAAATGAAAATAATAATAATAATAACAATAATGGTAATGTATGATTAAGCAAAAAAGCACTCACCTTGTACCAAGTCAATGGTTGTCTTTCGCTGACATAAGATCCCTCGACCCATTCGACGGAATTGCTTCCACTGAGCGAATGAATGCTCAGAGATTCTCCTTTTAAACCAATCTGTCGAGAAAAGAACACACAATTTAATAAACAAGAAAAAAGGAAATGCGGGACAATAGAAGAGTCTTCTTTCACATACGACACGCGAATGAACGTACATTGTAAGACCACTTTTGCCACGTCAGATCACGTTTTCCTTCATTAAGACCACTGAGAGAAACGGGACCAAGAACACCAGCATTCCATGTCTCGAAATGGGGACCTATATTCTGAGACCACGTGCATAAATCAAAAATATATATTAAAGAAAATATCATGTGTCATATAATTATATTAGTTGAAAAAAAATAAGGATATGTTGAACCCAAATATGTTCCAAAATTGCAAATACCTCAGTCTATTAAGTTAAACCTCAGTGTCATCTTTTGCAATTAGTATCCCTTAAAAAAAATATGGAATTGAATGTAGCATAGGAGGGAGAATATGAAAAGGGAACAAACCGGGAGACCAACGGCAATGCTGAGGAGAGAAATTTTGTTCACTCCAGCTTTCAAATTCACGCCTTCACTGAAAGTCAATCTGGGATTTTCGAGACTTCCATAAGCAGTTCCTATGAGAAACCAAAACAAATAAATATTAGTGAATTTGAAACACGGGTCCAGCATAAAGAAACATCTCATATGATAAAATATAATACCTCATTGTTGTTTATATTTGCTTAAAAATAGCTATCCAGTGGATATTGTTATTTCACAACTCATATACATATTCATTATCTATCACATCAAACAATGTTACAAAGTTCTTGAATTTTAATCCGATTCGTCGCGAACCTGATAGTTGCCCGTTGATAAATACATGCAATGCATGGCCTGCAGAAAGCACAGTGAGCACAGGCCACTTGCCGCCTCTTAAAAATCCTTCACGCGGGTCGATTCTCACACTGAACAATGGGTACAAAATAAAAAATCGGGAGTCAAATGCCGAAAAAAGGAACAAGTGAGATATTATGATCACACACAAAAAAATACAAAGAAAATGTTACAAGTTCACTTACTCTGTCGTGTACCATAAATAGTCTGTATGATCTCTGGTGGTGTTAATCTGCTCCAGCAATCCAACCATTGTAAATGAATTTTCTTCGTGTGAAGCAGCTTCTTCATTGTAAGACTGCCAATTGAATCCTTTCCTCACAGGGGTCATCTTCATTTGGGCACTTTGGGCTCCAATCTTTTTTCACAAGAATATTTAAAAGCATGTTAATATTATTAAAAAAAAAAAAAAAAGAAAACTCGATTTTTCTTAAGCAAATTGCATCCTCCAAAGGAGAAAGTTTTGTTGAATACAAACCTCAACTGGATACAAAGTATTTTTGGGAGATATTTGAATTACTTCTAGCAATTAGAGTAAAGCACATTTGGTAAGACCACAAAATTACTTTCTTACCCTTGCCGTGTTGTAGACAGTGTTTTTGCAGTCAGGAAGGATACTGATGGACCAAGGGGGCAAGTTGTAATGTTTACTCCCAAAGGACACTTTTGCAAACGAACGTTGATTGTAATTTGCAAGGAAAGCAGCACAACCGGACTTTGATTTGAACACATGAGCCTGCATGGAAAGAATGAAAGTGTTTTTTTAAGGATTATAATTAAGTTTTTACATGGCACAAAAGAATAAGAAGAATAAGAGAACATTGACTGAAAATCGAACCTCTTGATAGTTGCCAAGTGGCGTAACAACAGGATTAGCAGATACTAAAGCTGGCTCGCAGAGCTTGATTGCCCTGTGCAAATCTTTCAGGTGTCCCCATTTGGGCTGCCTCAAAAGTCCTATACATGTCAAAAAAAAAAAAGGATCTTGATTTCATCAAGGAGCTATATACCGTCTTATATTAAAGACACTAAATTTGACAGAAATTATGGCTTATATAACAATATTTTGAATGTTTCTGAATGCTAATTTACTTTTATGATTTTGCATAATCTTGTGAGTATAAGGGAGGGGTGATTCGAGTTTCTGAATCTGCTTATCTGCGGTGTTTGCTACCGATTGAGCATTTTCATAACTTATCAATAGTACACTCTGTCGACTAATTTAACTTTTAGCTTCTACATGCAAACACTGATATCAAATGCCGGAGCCTGGATCTTTAACTAATATTGTCCGACTACTAAAAAGTCCCCTAAAACCGTGTCATGAGAACTTCCAAATATCATGAAGGTGCATGTTTTTTTTTTTTTTCACAAAAAGCTGAATAAAATGCATGCACGGCTTTTGAACCTTCTTTTTTTGTCTCAAAATATCAAACAAGACCAACACACACCTCTCATTAGAGAGGCAGTTCATAATAACATGCATCATCCTTAAAGATAAATACATCCCACCATAAAAGTGTGTTATGAAATTGAACATAAAACAGACTGTACAGACATTGTGTGAGTTTACCGTATTCATCAAGAGGTGCATCATAGTCGTAGCTAGTCGCAATAAACGGACCGCCAGCTGTCCTGCCAAAGTTTGTTCCTCCATGATACTGAAATATACAAATAAATAGAATCATGTTCAGCTAATTTCTCACAATATATTCAATCAGCAAATATATGAAACTATGACACTTTACCATATAGTAGTTAATGTAAGAGCCCCCTTTCTGAATAAATTTAGCAACAGAAAATGCCAAATCTTCGGCGGGTCGGTAAGGTACAGGACCACCAAATTTAGTAAACCTATAAAACAACATTACTATAATCAAAAAAAATTATTTTCCTATAGGGATTATTCATTATTAACATCATCAGAATTAAAATACAGGGAAATTCTACAGTCCCGTTACGGAACCACTCCGTCGGGATTTGTAACCGTTAGATCAACTATCAACGACGGTGATCATCGGTTACAAATCCCGACGGAATGGTTCCGTAACGAGACTGTAGCATTTCCTAAAATACATACCAGCCAGTCCATGCTTCAGTCCACATCTTGGGTTTATAAGCCTTATTAGGGGAAAAGTAATCACAATAGAAACCATTGCAGGAATTTATCTGCAAAGCAAAGAATACAAAATGATCACATCAAAACAAATAAGTACATAATAACATAAATTTTGTGAATATTATTAAAATTAACAGGCAGATGGAGTTAAACTTTTGAACAGTGATTGTGTCCCTAAGCCATGTGCAAGAATGACAAGATCATTAAAAATAGTTAATCACCACAGATATAAAATAAATGAAAATGAACTCATTAATGGACAAGTGAAGTAGACATGCAAACCATTCCCAGATTCAAGTAAAATAAACTAAAATTTAAAACAAATTATTGCTTACAATTGGATCAGGGGAATCATTAAAATAGTTAATCACCATAGATATCAAATAAATAAAAATCAATTCATTACTAGACAAGTGAAGTAGACATGCAAACCATTCCAAGATTCAAGTAAAATAAATCAAAATTTAAAAACAAATTATTACTTAAAATTGGATCAGGGGCATCATTAAAATAGTTAATCACCATAGATATCAAATAAATAAATAAATATTTAACTCATTACTGGGCAAGTGAAGTGGACATGCTAACCATTCCCAGATTCAAGTACACATTAAAATTTAAAACAAATTATTACTTACAATTGGATCAGGAGCATCGTCTTGCTTGCACATGACCCACGGTACACCGGTGCCAAGACCGACGGCCATTTTCGCTGCCCATTCTGTATAAGCTCGACCTGGTGCACCGAGCTCGTACTCCATTGGTCCATATTCATTCTCAATCTGTTACAAGAAACAACATATATTTATTTTTTTCCAAACAGAGGTATGTATGATTGTGAAGAAAAAAGGAGAAGAAGATTGTTTTATACCTGAGATAGTATGATTGGACCACCTTGAGTTTCATACAGTCTTTCAGCTTTCATCATATTCACAATCTTGGTTGTGATTTTTTGCATAGCAGCCTTATTTCATTTTTTTTTTTTTTTGTGAAACATTGCAAACACCAAGAAATTGCAGCAAAACACAAGAAACCAATTAGTCTCATGAATCAAGCAATCTCATTCAAATTTATTAACACATATCTAAAGAGATTATAAATTCACATGCCACAAGAACATAGGTGTTTGTTTTTTTTACCTTAAAAGGTCCGTTATCTGTCCTGAAACTTATACCAGGAACATATTTCAGCCAAACTGGAAAACCCCTGCAGCCCAAAAGTTTAATCAAAAATCCTCTGATTATTTCAATATGCTTGCTCTTAACAGATAAATTCTTCATGTTCTTGTTTGTGTTATTATTACCCAAAATTCCATTCTGCACAAGCATAGGGACCAATTCTGAGATGTGCATAAAGTCCTGCTTGCTTTACTAGCTTAATAAACTTCACCAAATCATACCTCTCCTCAAAATAGTACTGCATAATGAAAAATAATAATAACAACAAAAAAAAAAATATGAATAAAACTCCAGTCATTTGGCAGACAATGTATGTAGTGATTACAAGAAAACTATAGTTCATATAT